TATTTATCTATTTATTTATTTACTTTATTCTTTGATCTTTTCTTTTTGCTTCTTATATAATTATATATAGTATTATTTTAATTGTAATTAATTAGGCCCTTTATTCTGAAAAGCCTTATAGAGGACGAATAAAGTATGTATGTATGTATACTGCATCAACGTGAATAGTTTTGGCATAATTAGTAATTGAAACAGTTTTTTTACTTAAATATATTTTTTGAATAGTTACTTTATATTTTTATTCAATCAAATATATATCGAAGTTCATCAAAGAATCAGCCAGCGAAGTACACTATCAAAACCCTACGCCTGCAAACGTTATACTAAACTCAGTAATAAAATATCAGGTATTACTAAGCTGTCTATTCATTCGTTCATTCATTTACTTTATGCATGTCAATTCTGTAAGATGAAATTCCGGCAAAAACATCACTCAATTACTAGTAATAACCAATTTAGTGGAAAATGACGACGAGCTTTGTGTTGGTGACTAATTTTCTTCTCTGTTCAAAACTTTTCGGCAGGCTTTGCTAAGTAATCTTTGGGGGAAAAAGTGCCAAAAAGGGTAAAAGTATGGCTGCCTGAAACTCAATATTTTTTTCAGTAACAAGAATGGATCCACAGCTTAAGTCAAAGGCTTCGTTATGACCAAAGGCACAAATAGATGCACGAAAGCATGAGGACTAGATGGTTAAGCAATTATAATTATATTTCGCGTTTTTATTTCTTCTGATTTTAACACTCTGATCATTTCGCTGCAGGGCCTTTGAGTTTTTCTGCCAGCCTGGTGTATTCTTTGTTCAAAACTTGAAAAAAAAATTGATGGGCCATCTCTAATGCAGCACTACTGTCGTTTATCTCAAACATTAGCACAAAGTAAGTTGTAGTTAATGCCCTTCTGACTAATACCGTTGAATAAGATAACCAACACGAACTCAACCGAACTTCTTTAAAGCCTTGTTAAAATCGAGTAAGATAACTTTCAGGTAACGATCGACGAACGTAACCTAGTACAATAACGGTATTATGTTTCTTACTAGTTCATTTAAGATACATTATATATCAGACTCTTGTACAATAAAATCAAATCAAGTCCAAATCTTATAAACTGAACATAATTTCCAAAAAGGTTAAAATTCGGCTTCGTAAAAGCATCAATGTTCGCCCGCTATCCAATATCAAAACCCCTTGAAAGAGATTCGCACAAGGCTAAAATCGTATACAAAGTTTAATTTAACACACTCCATACTACGACGTTATTTAAAGCGAGACGTAAGACCAGTAAACCGTGTATAGCACCTGTATATGTAATCTTTTAGCGATACAACGTGTTATATATATAATGACCAGCACGTTTTCTCCGACCTTCATGCGATAATTTTCGTGCACAGACACGTAGAAAATGAGTTCTAATTGTTAATCATTAATCTAAAACGAAAACTTGGAATTGTTATTGATCAATATACCCTTTCAGTGGACAAAGCTTGAGGCCAGCTGAAGAAACATCTTCATTTGTAATGCTGGGTAACCTTCGTAATTAGCTGGGTTTCAGATAAGTGAAAACCACGATAATTAGGAGAATCTCGCCAGAATTAAGAGAAGAACATTCAGACAAGTAAAAAGAAACTAAGGTTTTGAAAAAAAAAGTTTATAATAGACTTGATAGTGTTGTATAAGGAACATTTGAAATTCCATCTGAGTGCAGGGCTTTAACCATAAGTTAGAAAAATAATTAGGCCTTAAATTAATTTCGAAAAATCCTTTCTTTGCTATTATCATTTGATAAATTTAGGATGGCATCCTAAGATGGCATGTATAACGTAGAAATTAAAGTTCAATGACAGTTACCGGTAAAAAATTTTTAAACCAAAATCTTCCTGCATTTAGCTTTAAAAAAAGTAGTTTGCTCTTGAGGCTTTAGACTTAATTTCAAATCGGTTTTTAAATCTTAATTGAAAATATGCTTATATTTCAGCCATGAGTCAAAGGTTTCGTTTATAAATTTGTAAGTTTGTTTAGAGGAAAAGTGAAAAAGACGGACAGACAAAACATAGGATTGACCCGGTATCACTCTCAAAGGCTTCCCATGATATCAATATCTTGAATACCGTGAGAATAAAAGTAAAGTAAAGTGCGTTATGTGTACGTTTGCAGCTACTTTGAAGACGAATCTGTGGGCACAACATAGCTGATGCTGTTCACTTCAGTTCATTTTGGTTCCAAATTGAGACGTAACTGTTATTTGAATGCTAATCTATTGTGGCACTCTGGAACAATCGTGAAATGAAAGTTCTCCTACCACAAAGAAAAAAAAAATTACTTTATTTCATAGACTAGACTCGATAATGTCTTTGAACGGAAACTGAAATTATTGAATATACAGAAAATGAAAATGTGGTTGAGTTTTAAACGTGAAAGTAGCAATGTTTTGGTTTTAATATTTAATGAAAATCTTTATAACTTGAGAAGCAACAAAGCTTGCGCTTTATCTATCTTTGATTCTTAAGGCAAACAAACTGTGTGGAAACTTTATACAGCCAAGCCAGACAAAACTGCTACTCGAGTAATCGTAAACCAACTAATTCAAATCATCCTTTTGAATTTTTTTTTTTTTTTTTCGTGAGAAATCAAAAACAGGAAGCTGGCCTTGGAATAACAACACGAAGCATTTGTTGTTCATCATATTTGTTTTGAGAAGACACAAGCAAGTTCGTACTTTTTTGCTTTTTGTAATGAACTAAAGACAGTGGCTTTTATTTGATGGTTGATTATTTCCTTGTCTTCTCAGCTTACTTGAACACTGGCTGACGCTCTTTGCCACGAAATACATTCCCTTCCAAACCAACAATACCGTGGGAAAATCCACCCGCGTATTGTTATTTTAATGGTGTTCCTTTATCTCGTGACCTCGAACAAAAAGTATCGGAAAGTTTTGTACACAAAGAGACACAAAAGCCATTTCTATAAACCCACACGTGGTGATCAAGTCTTGAGAAAGAAAAAATGTCGGTCAAGACTCAAATCCACTATCTAAGCGATTTCGTTTACGTTCAAATGGAATCAAGAAAGAAAGGAAGAAAAAAACGTTCAATGCGTTTCATTCGCTTTGTTTGCGTTCATTAATGGGAGTAAGTTGTTTAATCTTGTTAGGCGGAACAGTTCGTATCTTTTGAAAAAAAGACCGTTTTATTAACTCCAATTGGCGTATTTCTGAACTAATTAAGGACGTAGGGCTGTCTGAGTTCAGCCAATAAGGGAAAAGCAGTCTCACGCTCGTCACGCGCTGATGGGCTTTTTGGCGCTTTGTTTCTTTGAGATGTCGTGTGACTATACAATTGCAGCCAATCAGAGCTAGTCATTCCCACGGTCCAGGCTTTGTGGATTCTAATGCTGATTGTATGACCCTGTTAAGATGATTGTTTTTAACTAAGTGTTTACAAATATTTAAAATCGATGATTCAATGCTTAAGCATTTTTCCCACGGGAGAATTTGATATACACATTGGCCATACGGCTTTGGAATCATTTGTCAATTGGCACTGAACGCGAGAACACCTCGAAAGAAATGGCCACTATTAATGTTAAGAGTTCGGAAACTTTTCCTGAACCTCATGAGTTTGTGGGCAAAATGGCCAGTGATCGAAGAAAGGTGAGCTAAATACCATTTTGATTAAAATTATAATGATTTTTAAGCAATAATTTAGGAATTTCAAACTTGAAACTAAAAAAAAAAAAACTTAGAAACTTTTCTTGAAAGTGTTGTACAAGTAGTATTAGCTCTAGTAAACATTACTGTTAAATGAAGTAATGAATTTTTCTTTTAAATTTCAAATCCATGCATGCAATGTTACGAAAACTTTCACACATCTTCTGAAAATTAAGCACATTTTAAATAATACTAAATTATGCAAGAAGGTTGATGATTTTTTGATTTTTTATTCATTGCAGACCAAGAAGCCACTCATGGAGAAACTGCGACGAGACAGAATTAATTCTAGTCTAAACGAAATGAAAATATTGGTTTTGGAATCCTTGAATAAGGACGTAAGTAGAGAATGCATTGTTAACTTAACTGACAAAGTTCTAGAAAATGAGACGAGGATCTAGACGAATAGACTGAGACACAGACAGGTAGACAAGTCAAATCAACGAAGCAGTTTCTGGGGAACTCTTGTAGTTAAATTGATTTCATTTTCGATGAATAGACACATACATCTAGAAAAAAGAATATTAGTTTATATTCAAAAACTATCAAAAGAACATTATGGAAATAGTTATTCACCATCAAAATACCACCCTGCCGATGGGATGACGTCAGGACCTGCTAGGATTAAGATTTCCCATCAAAAATCCATTGTTTTGTTCTTCAGTGTTTCCTTCAAAATGATTGATATTTTGAGACAAGTTTTAAATTTACAGCTCGTAAATCAAGAGGATATTATTGTTGGTATCCATCAAAACACCAGTTATAAAAAGACTCGTTCTATAGAAACAACAACACCTATGGTTTAACCAGCTTAATTGGCCATTCTTCGGTCCAGTAATTAAGAATTGTGCTTTGATTTTTGTTTAGGTTTCGCGATATTCAAAAATGGAAAAAGCTGATATTCTTGAGATGACAGTAAAGTTCTTGAGGGACATCAATAGACAGGAACGAACGAAACGAGGTAAGCCGACTTTTGATTATCCCCCCCCCCCCCCCTCTTTTTCCACAAACTAGAAAAATCGAAATTATGCAAATTATGTGTAGGGGTTTGTTGTCATTTGTGCAAAGGATAAGGTCATGCAAAGAAAGTGTACGAGGCATTGAAAAAGGCAACATATTCATAATCAGGATTTTTTCCGCGTTCTTTGGTCTCGGTCGCACACTGTGATAACGCGGTAGGAGAGGGGCTTGGGGACAGACAATTCCGGAGCAAATCAAACCCTTTTTCCCAGTGTGAATTTTTTTTTGTTTCTGTTTTCTGCATTTAAAGAAATTTGTGCGCTTGGGTAAATGCTCGAATCAGGACTGAAGACCTTATCAAATAGCAACAATTCTACTTTTATAGTAAAAGAAAGTTTTTGTATTTTTTTCCAGGTCCTATGTCATGGGCAGAGTATAGAGCTGGTTACAACCAATGCGCCATAGAATTGATGCGACATGCAACACCCATCTCACCTGGTGATATGCAGATGCATGGCAAGGTTTTTGCACATGTTCCAGGTGGTTTCCACGGCAACACGCACGTCAGCACTCAGCCTCCTACTTTTATTCTTCCAAATCCAACCACTGCTCTACCTACGTCACCAGTTAGAATAAACACACCAAAGATTCCGACTGTCGTATGGGTGCCTATACCGTCGCCCCCGCCTTCACCATCCAACAAAGCATCACTAACGAACGCACCTTCTACGACAACCAACAAAGCAATCGCCCATGAAAAATTGCAAAGTGTTTACGAGACACTCACTGAAACGAAAAACTTAGTCAACACGAAACCCACAGCAAGTGATAGACAAATAATACCTAACCCCCCTATGTGGAGGCCATGGTGAACTGACTTGCGATTGGATGCATCACGCATCTTTGAATTGGATTTTCATAATTGTTCGAATTCCTGAACTGTACATATTTGTTTACACTAAGTGGATTTTTGGCATCAATGCGTGAAACAAGAAAATTTGTTGTGCAGCTAAACTTGGAGCTCACGTCAGCGATGATAGTTATTTACAATTACTTAGCGCATGGGATAGAAATTTGGGTAAATAGTATTTCTAAGGGGAAAAATGTAAAAAGAATAAATTCAATTTATTCTCAAATGACGCTAACAAAATTGCGTCGAAAAATAACTTGCTTAATTTTTAAGGCAACTGAATTTGTACATAGGGGTAAATTTCTTCCAAGGGTATTGAATTTTGCATGAATTGAAATGTTTGTTCCAATGTCTTAGAAATCAGAAAATAAAGATAGGGTATATATAAAAAATAATATTGAGTTTTAAATGGCCAACGAAAATAATGCACGTCTTTTCCTTGGACTTTATGGACATGAACGTCCAATTTACTCAGCGTATTTGAATTATACATGAACGTTTATGCATCAAATATTGAAACCTAAATTGAAATTGTAGTAACATAATGTTGATCGGACTATTGATGTAAGGATTTTTGGGTGATCCCAATTCTAAACCACTGAAATTATAATCAAATTCCACAGAGACAACGCCTCGATTAATCTGTATTCCTGCTGTGAAATAAAAAAAATTCAAAACAATTTTGCTTTCTTGGCTGGAGCTCAAAACATTTCTCAAGCTTAGTCAGCCGTTAGCAGCGGCCAGTTACCTTCTGATCATTCTCGTTCAATGTCAGTAGTTATTTGAAGCCCTGTTCATTTATTAAGAAATTCAAGCACCCACAAAAAAAATAAGGACCACGACGCCATCACGAGTTTCCAAACCGGCTATAGAAGCTCATAAAACAATTTAGACTTGCTATCTATGTCAATAATTATCAGACAAATTATAGCAAAAATTAATTAAAACTATTTTTTCAAGTTATATTTAATGTGATATTATGATAGATGAACTGAATATTGTTAAATGATATTTGTCAGTTACTACGTAATTCGTTCAAGTTAAAAGTGATGACTTATGAAAGTTAAAAATGCAGAGTCACTCAGTATTTCAATCTGTTATTAATTTTATCTTGTTCAACTTTCATATTCTTCTTTAAAAGTACCTCAAACCTTACAACGTTTAAAAACCCTATTCTAAAGTCGTCACTCATTTTCCGAGAAACAGTTATATCTTAAAATGTATACAGTCTAGTTAACTTCATTTCCAAAACAATCAGTTTGAACATAGTTAATAGAGGGGAAGAAGGCCAAAGCATCCCAACTTCCTGTATTTCTCGCATTTGACTTTCTTCTTATGATATAAAGTAAGTTTATTTTTCCATAATAAAAATTTACACTTTTGTCGACATATATACATTATATTCTTTCTTCTATCTTGCTTTTTCAGACAGATACATAATTCGAGCCGTAAAAAATAAATGAACAGAATTAAAATATTACAAGTCATTAGGGGAAATTACATCATAAATTGAGTTCATTGTACATAATAACAAATCATATAAATAAAACATAAATCATTGATTGACTATAAACTTTTAATAAATACTATAAAAATCAGTCGTTTTCACCACGGTCTCCACAGTGGAAGTGTATATTGACCACTATCAAACTGGTCCATCTCTAATTCCCTTTGTTGGCTCATCAAAACGTCATTATTGTAAATCTGATTTTCTTTGAAGTACTCAGCCATATAAGTATCTTTCACAAAGCACTCCATCCCAGGTAAACGAACACGGCTCTGATTTTCCAAGCTTGTATTTTGCCTTTTCTCCAAGCTTACGGGTAATAATAATTTCTTGATATCTGAGGGTTGAGTAGAAAAGACATTAAACTTCTTCTCAGTCAATGGGGATCGCATTTTTAAAGTCTCGTCGAATTTCCCCAACGACTGGCTAGAAAAGCAAGAACTTATCTTGTCGCAAGTAGGTGAGTTACTTCCCTGCCTCTTGGTCGTAATGGGTTGAAGTAAATCGTTATTAAAACTAGACGAAGGTATTAGTGCATAATCAGCAGGAATTGAAGATGAAGCGTGGTTCTTTGTCGTTGCCATAGTATTGTATAGTAGGTAAGGCTCAGGGACTTCAGGTTGGACAAGACCGATCATTACAGACCTAAAACTCTCAGAATCAATATCAGGAGTGTTTGATTGTCGGCGTGAGGTATTATTAATTGTAGCTTTGTCTGGTGGTGAGGTCAATAGAGATGCTTGATGATTTCCCTGAGGTGGTCCAAGAGCTCCATCTAATAAATCAAAGTAATAAAAAATGTCTTAACAAACAATTTTTGCCAGTGAAAGAGTTTACTATTAATACAAATAAAATAACCCAAGTCAGTATTTTAAATAAATGTATTAATTAGACAATTAATCATTTAAGTGCCAATCGTTCATTGAAATTTCTGCAAAGTCAGCAGGCAGCAGAAGAATGAATCAAAAGTTTGTTAGATACAAGAAAATTGCCCTCATTTTTTCATCATGTTTGTGAAGAAGCTTTAGTAAGCCAGGGCCGTAGCCACCGGTACGGTTGGTCCGGTTTCAACCGGAACAACTCTCGGTGAAAAAGTATAAGAAAAATATTTTTAAAATGTAAGAAAAACTCAAAAACCTCGAAAACCTAGACTGCGCTGCACGCAGGCTACGAAAACCGGACCAATCACAAATTTGTAGCTACGGCCCTGTGACTGCTGTGAGCTGAGCTTAAAAGATTTACTGGCCTTAATTAAAACCTACAATAGTAGGACCCTGAATTAAAGATCATAAAAAGGAAATATGGGGCTTTAGTGGAGTTAAGTCCAATCACAAAAAAACTTTTTATGAAAATAATATTAGCGCTCTCCCTTGACCTTGATTAGAGCTTTTCAACTGCTTTCCTGCCTTTAATTCTCTTTAATGCGCACAAAAAAATTTTCCGGATTTTTATGTTTTTCTCCCCAACAATCAAGTTCAAATATACATTTCAATTGATAAACTGGGAGTGGGAGACGATTAGTTTCATAAGTCCCCTAGCTCGGCTGTCTGACTTAAATCCTAACATTGCGGTTACATGTGGTTATGTATAATACTGCCAATGAAGATTGTAATGACGAGAATAGCACTAAGGGGTCAATATTTGAGTAAGCGTGTCCACTGAGGCTGAAAGTGTTCTCAAGCACTGAGGAGGTATTCGCCAACCACATGTAGAATACAAACAGTGGTAGCATCTTTATTTATATTGTAATCAGTGATATGATGTGCAGTTCCGTAGCACGTAGTATTAATATAGAGATCACAGCACAAGGCATTAAGCATGAGAAGGATATATTAATGGGAACACATTAGCTAACGAAGTGGGCAGATTCAGCTGAATCGAATGAATTGCGGGAATCCCATCAGACTTTTAATACGGGCAAACACCGTCGTCACTAATCATCCAAACAGTTTTGAAATTTGCCATAT